CTGTAACACACGTAACATCTGTCCGCTACAATAACATACCGTATATTATATATAAATATATATAACATATGTTTAACTCGTGTGATTTACGCCCTAGCTACGTTATTAAAAATAATATCGAACCTGAGTAAACCGAGAATTATCTGTACAGAACACACAGTGGTACGCAAAAACTACAGATTGCTCCGTGGATATTTCTCGTTTTCTCCGTCTTATTCGATACGATAATAGATCTTAACTTTCAGGATAGGTCAGAAATGGGCTAACTTAGAATTGATGAGATTTTCGTGGTGATCCGGATCCAATTAATTAATTAATTAAATTTTCAGGATAGGTCAGAAATGGGGTAACTTAGAATTGATTACATTTTGGTGGTGATCCGGATCCAATTAATGATTTAATTAATTAATTAATTAATTAATTAAATTTTTCACAGTGAGAGAATTGAGCTGCCTTGGCGGAGGTCTGCGCTCTCCGAGTGCTCTAGTTATCTTATGCGTTCAGCTTCATGCTTCATGCTACATACCATGCTGTTCTATCGTCTCCCGGCAGGTGTTTAGAGGATTGCATCAGTTAATATTCCGTGGCATCAAATAACTACAGTATTATAGCTTCGCGGCCCAGATATCGGTTCTCGCAGGCCGGAAACTTTACGTTTTCCTGGAAGTAATAACATACTCTGAATGTGGGAGCGATTATCCCGCGACATAGAACATCGTGTTTTAGGTAAGCACGTAAACACACACGTAATGTGAAATATCAATATCGCATTGCAAAGAAATGTCGTGCAATGCGTTAGGCGCATAATATGTGCGCGCAGTGGCAACGCCAGCATTTCCATATGATACCTATTAGGCTATCTTCACAACAATGCTCGACAAACTCTCAGCCTTATACAAAGTGGTCGATGGTTTGTTGCCAGTTGAGAAATTTCATAAAACCAATTGAACCGTGAAAATTTAAAGTAAAAAAAATCACTGAATTCGAGACCGTACACTAATAGAAAGACACACCAACAATCGCTTCAGCTTGTAGGAACCACAGCACAATTTTGTCATTAAATTCTTCATAAAAACAACGAGAATAGATTGGAACTAGCTGCCAATGGACGTAGCAACAGCCACGCCAACTGAGACCTTCAAAAAACGGCAGAGAACCTTTACTCTCGGTTCTGCTTATACATGTCGCCGCCCATGCACCCTCCTTCCTGTGCATTGTACCGCAATGGTCGTGCACCGCATCACTCAGATTCAGATTCAGACTACTACACTACGTGGTATTAACCTCCTGGCAACGTGTCACACTACTCACACAAGTGGCTCTAGTATGATTATTATTTACTTCTGATTTTACACGTAACAAAGCAAATATTGCCTAGTTGTTCATGCATCATTCAGTTTTCTGAAGAGAAAATCAATGTTATTGGCGACTGGCGTCTTTGGGTAACACGGATTTCGAGTTTTTATGTTTTCCTCGCAACCATGCAATAATTGCATAGTATAGCCATACCCGCGCGAAATTTCCGTTCTTAATTTATAGTATTTAGTCCGTGTTTAAATTCTATACGCGATCAGGCGCGAACAAAACCAAATTATTCACATCTGGTGATATCCTTTGTTGTGAAACCTTGACATAGTCTTGTTTATCATTTATTGAGAACTACGTTCATAATACATTTTGGTCGCGATGTCACAATTATATATTATTTAGAATTCTCTAATATTTCTTAATTATTAATGAGCGCATATAACATGCTTTATAGCCAAGAAGACTGTCAACGACTTTACGCCTGTGACGAAAGGCGAGTACCCAGAAGCTATAGATCTCGTGACGCGAAGCATAACATAATCGTATAGGCTGTGCAGAAACACGTTAAGTGTAGTAACCACACGGTTCACTTACGTCTGCTTCCGGTACAAACAGAATTGACGCCCGTTATATATCTCAAAATGTGCTCTAGAAAAAAATGAGTCTAACTATATCTGAGATGTATATATCATTCCGTGATACAAGTAGATATGTGCACCATTTGGTGCCCATAGACGACTGGTCATAATATCAATCATAATAGTAGTAATGCTTATTATGTGCTCAGGATATTACGCCAGCACACATTAACTGTCGACCCAAATCAGCCAGGAATTCTGTGATAAACATTAGTCTGTAATATCCACTATAGTGTAAGCTCGTCTATAATGCTGCTGCTGCCAATCTGAGAGCTCTACATCTGCGCGTCTTGTGCACTGCATGACCGACTATACATGCACTACCTAACACAATAGTCCTACTCAGGCAGACATATTAATGGTTGCGAAGCAATTATGGTCGCAGGAACAAAAGCTGTAACGCGATATTAAGATCCACAATAATGATTCTCAGGGGGCGCACCGATCGCACACTACTCTCCGAGAGTGTAAACCTACGCTTTCACTCTCTGCTACCCTATATCGCCATATATGGGGATATCCAAAACAGCTCATCATCAGTAATATTTTCATCGCTGTCAGTCATAGGCCTACCTCTATTTGCAATGATGCTAGGTGGTTGCTGATCTCAGACTACATGACGTTTATGTGCTTGCTGCGTGCCGCAAAATAATAGCAAATTTCACGAAGCAACCAAATTCACAATGCCTTTATATATTTGTAGGGCTTTTTAATGGTAAGAATTGAAAAAAACAAGCCTTACTAGAATATATATATACATATATTGCTATATATATATTATATAATATATTAGTATATAATATATACTATATATAGGCATAGAGAGAGAGAGAAGAGAGAGAGAGAGAGAGAGAGAGAGAGAGAGGAGAGAAAGAAGAGAAGAGAGGAAATGAGAGAGAGAGAGAGAGAGAAAGAGAAAGAGAGAGAGAGAGAGCGAGACAAGAGAAGACGAGAGAGAAGAGAGAGAAAGAGAAGAGAGAGAGAGAGAGAGAGAGAGAGAGTGTGTGTGTGTGTGTGTGTGTGTGTGTGTGTGTGTGTGTGTGTGTGTGTGTGTGTGCGTGTGTTTGTTTGTTTATATATGTGCATGTTTGTGCATGTGTGTTGTTTATATGGCAAGACGTCGCCATTGTGAGCTTTGCTAAATAGGACCTATACTAGAGAAAATTTACCCCGTTTAGTTCTCCCGCATAGTTTTCCCGCATAGTTCTCCACTATGCCCTAACGTCTAACCACTACATCATGCATCGTGATCATGATACGCTAGAGACGGCGGGTAAAATAATCGCCATCTTTATTTTTGAAAAATATAAATATCTTTTCGAGTAAAATACTGTCCTGTAATAGACAAGGAAATATCGAACGATAATTGCAGCGTTTATTAAATTAGAATTCTAATTGTACAAATACATTAAATAAGGGCAAATATACTCGAATTTGAATGTTACTCGATTAAATGTTTGTGGAAACTACGATACAACGATAACAGACGGCGGAATAGAATCTGATATGGTGTTTCGTAACGTATGTTATATGTGACTATTGAACCTGAAATGCCAAATATAGCTCGCATGATTTGGAAAAAATGCTAAAAGTTTCTCAATTATTTCGATTACTCAAGTTTCCCTACTTTTTCTAAATGTTTCTCATATTCGTAATAAATGTTCTTCCTATCTAAATGTAACATATGTTTTACAAATGTTACCTAAATTAGTTAGAGACGCGGAGTGCGGCTAGACTCGGGGTTGTTTTAGTGGTAATCTATGTAGACAGAGCGTCGTCTTGTGCGGCTACATTGATGTATAGGGAGAATTGTAAACGTGTTTTAGGTTGGGCGTTTCTAGGGTCATTGTGAAATGAGCGTAGAGACATATATAGGGCTGTGGGTTAGTTATATATTTGGGGGAGAGCTGTGTGGTAGGCTGAGGGACAGAGATGTAGGAGTCGAGGAGTCTGGGTGGTGGTCGCTTGAGTAAGCACATGCGCTTACGCGCGTGTGCGCGTTTCTTTGTCTCTTTGTGCAAGATGTGACTACACTGTGTGCAAGATATTAAAGTTTATTCAGTTTAATACACAAGTTTGGATTCCTGCTTTATTCATACATATCAAGCGTACGTTAACGTTACATAAACGTACATTGAGCAAACGTGTATCACAAATCATACGTAACTATAATAGCACTGACGGCATTTTGTTCAAATATATTCGTGGCCATACATTTAGTATTTTCGTAAACGTTTCTAGTCACATTAAGACAGCCGCTAATATGTTTATATTTACAAATTCAACTTATCATCGTATCTCCACGTGTACTATGTAGCTGATACACAATCAGCCTGTTTTTATCTCCCATTCTCTTTCCCTCCTTCCTATCTGTGTTAATGTGTATGTGTATGTGTATGTGTATGTGTATGTGTGTGTGTGTGTGTGTGTGTGTGTGTGTGTGTGTGTGTGTGTGTGTGTGTGTGTGCGCGTGTGTGTGTGCGTGTGCGTGTGTGTCCGTGACCGTCCGACAGATCGCTTACTGCTGCCTAGCCGACTCACTGAATCAAAAGTTATGCACTTGAAAGTTATTCGCTTGTGCGCGTGCGGCGTGCGGCGTAGATTTCGGCGTGTCCTCGGTGCGTCCGTACTCCAGCCTGCAGCGGTGCTGCCGATGCAGCAGGATGGCGCCTCGCCTTCCCTTCGCGTTCCACGAGCAGAACATGAGCACTCGCTTCACGGTCCTGTTCATGACGATGTAGACGACCGTGTTCACCATGTTGTTGCTCATCGCTAGTGTCTCGACAAGATAGAACAGGTTGATTCTCTGCGAGTTCTGCTTCCAATGTAACGGGTAGAAGTCGCGGTAGATCGTGTAGCCGTAGTAGGGCATCCAGAGGCAGATGAACAGTATGACGGACACCATGAGGATGCACGTGCGTCGCGTCCATTTCTTCTTCTTCGTCAGCCAGGAGCCGCTGTAACCGTTCGGCATGCCGTTTTGCTCGTTGTACGTTCCCGTGAACGTATCTCGCACCATACCGACCGTGAAGATCTTGTGCACGACGTGGCCGTAGCAGTAGACCATGATGATCGACGGCAGAATGAACTCGATGAGCAGGACGATGATGAAGTAGCAGCGCACGGAGATGACCGTGCCGTAGGGCCAGTGCTCGACGCAGCTGCTGACGTACTCGCTCGTCTGCGGGTCGTATTGCGTCGTCACCTTCGTGTAGAGCGCCGTCGGCAGGACGACGAGAGCGGAGACGAACCAGATGACGGCGACGACGGCGAACATGAAGCCCTTGCGAGGTCTGTCCTTGAAGGGCCACTGCACGACGACGAACCTGTAAGAGAGCAGACATGTTGAAAGCAGCAGTCGTTACCCGAGAAACAGCAAGCAGTGGATGGATAGATGGATGGGTGGATTGATGGATGGATGGATGGATGGATGGATGGATGGATGGATGGATGGATGGATGGATGGATGGATGGATAGATGGATGGATGGATGGATGGATGGATAGATGGACGGATGGACGGATGGACGGATGGACGGACCGTATCTTGTTTTGACTCGTATATTACCCGGAACTGTGTCTGGCTGTGTGACAGAGGTGGGGAGACACAACGAGAGAGAGAGAGAAAGAGGAAAGGGGGTAGAGATAAATAAAGGGAGAGGCCTAAAGACAGAGGAAGAGAGAGAGAGAGAGAGAGAGAGAGAGAGAGAGAGAGCTAGAATGTGGGGAGAGAGGAGAGTGCGCGCAAGGGACAGTAACGCACTGTCACGCACACAAAGCGAGGGGAAAGGCAAAAGTAAGCGAGAGAGAGAGAGAGAGAGACGAGAGCGAGTAGAAGCAGAGAGAGAGAGAGAGAGAGAGAGAGAGGAAGATGAGAGAGAGAGAGAGAGAGAGTAGAAAGAGAGAGAGAGAGAAGAGAGAGAGAGAGAGAGGAACCGAGAAGGAAGAGGGAGTGAAGCAGATAGCAAGAGGCATAAAGCAAAAAGATTGCGTCTAATGAGGGCCAAGCAACATTGCTTACTCGACCGTGCGTGCGTTTTCGTTTTTTCCTGGCAGGTATTGCAAATGCAATCCGCTTTTCTGCACAATTCAACGACAATATGCCGCCGTCCATTTCAAGGTTGTTTACATGAAATGGCTCTAACGCCATTTTCCCGATGCATAGGTTTCAACCAAAGGGCCGTCGTTGAGGTAATTTGATTCTGCCCCTTGATAGTCAAGTCCTACGTACAACACCTACTTGCATGTATATACATACTCTACCAGGCTGATGCCTATAACGAAGTAGCAAGAGTACTGTGTCGTCTTGTCTATGATTCAGTTGTTCGAAAGTGTAAACATACTCAATATTTGTTCTAGTATTCTTAAACGCATGATGCTAAAGCCTGCTTATTGACGAACCCGATGCGAAACCTGCTGCAGCGTGTGGCGCGCAATGCGTGACATAAATTGATGATAGTGTATATAGGTAGATTACATGAGATTAGCGGGGAAAGGCTCCCTAATGGAGGCTGTATGGTGACAACAAGTGGTCGCAATGAATCTTACTAACCAACGTCAGGGCCTATCAACGCCCTTACAGAATGTAGCCATGAAGGACTCTTATTAACACTCTCTGTGACAAGATAACTATGTCAGCACAACAACATATACGCATTACACGCGCTCAAGATAATAAAAACCACAGATCTCTATATTGCTATCTACAACAAACGCGTTGCAGATAAAAAGAGCACAGCGATAGCGCGCATCTACAATACAAGCGTTTAAGATATCAAACTGACAAAGTGTTCGCCCAATTAAACAACAAATCTCACAAGAATAATTATACTACGAAGAGATATCATTTCACAACATGGCGTAGTGCCGTATCACACGACGCGGGCCGTTTGGTGTGGTGTGTTGTGTGTGTGTGTGGTGTGGTGTGTGTGTGTGTGTGTGTGTTGTGTGTGCGTGTGCGTGCGCGTGTGTCTGTGTGTGTGGCGTGCGTGCGTGCGTGGTGGTTTGTGTGAGTGTGTGTGTGTGTGTTGTGTGTGTGTGTGTTCGTTGTGGTGTTGTTTTTGTAACGTTCGCGCGTGGGCGTGTGTGTGGGTGTGTGTGTGTGTGTTTGTTGTTGTGTGTGTGTGTGTGTGTGGTTGTGTGTGGTGTGGTGTGTGTGTGGTGTGTGGTGTGTGTGGTCGCGATACATTTACCTCAGTTTCGAAATACAAATAATCGCTTTTATTTCTCGGCCTGCCTATACACTCACCTGCTCCTGTAAAGCGTTAAAATTTATCTACATAATTATAACTAATATAGAGTAGTTAATGGAAATCGACGTTAATAAAAGTATCCATACAGGCATTTCACTTCTCCATTTTACTTTGATAGAAGCCTTTGTGCGCGGCGCAGCACGGCCAAGATCCGTCCTGAATTGAAATTTCTTCGAATTGACTTCTGAGTGCAAAAATTAATTGAGTGTCTAGTTTTTAATTAGTGAACGTCATCAGTCGTAGTCAGCACACCTAACACAGATTAGTCTCAACATTTATACATTGGATACTAATAAAATGAATATACATAGTTAAGTGACAGGATGTGAGGACAGAGGGAAGGAAGGAGAAAAAGGGAGTGAAGGCCGGAAGAGAAAAGGAAGGAAGGAAGGAAGGAAGGAAAGAAGGAAGGATGCCTGAATAGATGGACGGATGGATGGATGTATGGATAGAATGGACTGGATGGATTGAGACGCGGACACGCGACGACGACGGCACGGAGACGACGGACGGACGGACGCGGACGGACGGACGGACGACGAGACGGATCGGACGGACGGACGACGGAAAGGACGGACGGACGGCGGACGGGACGGACGGAAACGGACGGACGACGGACGGACGGACGGACGCGATGGATGGATGGATGGAATGGATGGATGGATGTGATGGATGGATGGATGGATGAATGAATGGTATGGTTAGATGGATGGTTGGATGGATGATGGATGGATGGATGGTATGGATGGATGGATGGATGGATGGATGGGTGGGTGGAGTGGATGGATGGGATGGATGGATGGATGGATGGATGGATGGATGAATGGATGATGGATGGATGGATGGATGGTATGGATGGATGGAATGGATAGATGGATGATGGATGGATGGATGGATGGATGGATGGATGATGGGTGGTGGATGGATGGATGGATGGATGGATGGATGGATGGATGGATGGATGGATGGATGGATGGATGGATTGGATGGATGATGGTGGATGGATGGGATGGATTGGATGATGGATGGATGGATAAATGGGGGAAAAAAAACTGAAAAAGTTGGGATTTTGGAAATTTTAAAGATGGAGGTGGATGGATGGATGGGATGGGTGGGTGGTTGGGTGGAATGGATGGATGGATGGATGGTTGATGGATGAATAGATGGATTGGATGAATGGAATGAATGGATGAATGGATGGAGTGGATGGATGGATGGATGATGGATGGGTGGGTGGGTGGATGGATGGAATGGATGGATGGTTGGATGGCATGGATGGATGGATGGCATGGATAGGATGGATGGATAGATGGTGAATGGATGGATGGATGTGATGGATGGATGGAAGGGGATGGATGGATGGATGGTGGAATGATGGATAGGTATGGATGGATGCGATGGATGGATGGATGGATGGATGGATGGATGGATGGATGGATGGATGGATAAATAGACGGATGGACCGGCGGATAGACGGACGGAATGAAAGTGGATTGATGCATAAGCAAATGTCAAGGTCATTCAGTCTGTGTTTGCACAATTTCGCGTTTCAAATATTTTCTATTAGTGCATATTTAGAAACGCGTTAGTTCGTAGTCAAGCCGCCTCGTTATTTGATGGTTATGAAGCAATACATTCGTCGGCATTTACGATGATGATGATTAATCTTTTGATTAAATTGTTTTCATAAAAGCCGCCTGTAATAACTGCATGCCTCCGTGCACATGTTATCGCCTTACATACTTATAATCTTGTGACTACAGAAAGGTTGTGGCCGTGGAATTGTAGCCATTAATTGTAGCCATCAAAGCTCAGTATTTCAGGCCCTGCAAAAAGTGTCCATTGGAAAGCGTAGTAGTATGAGATATTTGTGCAGAATGAACACTGGTATCAGAAATCCCCGACAGGCATAATAACCACGAGCAATCTTCACGATCACAATCAGTCATGATTACATCTGTGACTGATTACACCTGTGATTGATTACAATCAGAGCCTCAGCACTGCCGGTAGCTACTACTATTTTTGGACTATTGCGAGTTTTGTGGCTCAGAAAAACTAAATATAGCTGAATGTAGTCTCACCTGAGAGTGGAAATATCACTGATTACACCAACATTAATGTGCGATTTCACTACAAAGATCACTAAAGCTGTGACTTGCGACTTTTTCCTCTCCATAGAACAGCTTCTTCTAATTGTGAATCAACATTTACATGTGTATTAAAGATGGCGTGCGCTGTATGTATGTATGATGTACGCGTGTGGCAGCGTGCCTGTATGTATGTACGCGTGTGGCCCGTGTGCTGTATGTACGCGTGTGGCAGCGTGCCTGTAGTTGTAGCGCGTGTGGCAGCGTGCCTGTATGTAGCGCGTGTGACAGCGTGCCTTGTAGAGTACGCGTGTGGCAGCGTGCCTGTATGTACGCGTGTGGCAAACGTCTGTATGTACGGCGTGTGACAGCGTGCTTGTATGCAAACGTGTGGCAGCGTGGCCTGTATGTACGCGTGTGGGCAGGCGTGGCCTGTAAGTACGCGTGTGCAGCGTGCCTGTATGTATGTACGCGTGTGGCAGCGTGCCTGTAATGTATGACGCGTGTGAACAGCGTGCCTGTTATGTACGCGTGTGCAGCGTGGCGATGTATGTACGCGAAGTGCAGCGTGGCCGCTGTATGTACGCGTCGTGACGAGCGTGCGCTGTAATATACGCGTGTGAGACTAGCGTGTAATGTAATGTACCGTGAGGCAGCGTGCCTGTATGTACGCGTGTGGCAACCGTGGCCTGTAATGTACCGTGGTGAACAGCGTGCCTGTATGTACGCGTGTGACAGCGTGCTAGTATGTCACTGCATATGTACGCGGTGTGGCAGCGTGCCTGTATGGTATGTACGCTGAGTGGCTAGCATGCCTGTATGGTACGGCGCTGTGACAAGCGTGCCTGTGTGTAACGCGTGGGCAGCGTGCCTGTAATGTACGCGTGTGAGCAGCGTGCGCTGTATGTACGCGTGTGACAGCGTGGCCCTGTATGTACGCGTGTGGCAGCGTGCCTGTATGTAAGAGTGTGGGCAGCGTGCCTCGTATGCGCGTGGTGGGCAGCAAAGTGCTTAGTCTATATGTACTGCGTGTGGCAGCGTGCTTGTATATATTAACGCGTGTGGCAGCGTGCCTGTATGTATGTATGTATGTACGCGTGGCGGCAGCGTGCCTGTATGTAACGCGTGTGGCAGCGGTGCTGTATTTACGCGTGTGGCAGCGTGCCTGTATGTATGCACGCGTGTGCAGCGTGCTGTATGTTATGGCTACGCGTGTGGCACCGTGTCTAGTATGTCGCGTGTGGCAGCGTGACTGAGTATGTACGCGTGTGGCAGCGGTGGCCTGTATGTACGCGTGTGACAGCGTGCCCTGTAGGTACGCGTGTGGCAGCGTGCCTGTATGTAGACGCGTGGTGGCAACGTGCCTGTATGTACGCGTGGACACGCGTGCTTGTATGGCACACGTGTGGCACGCGTACCTGGTATGTACGCGTGTGGGCACGCGTGCCTTAAGTACGCGTGTGGCAGCGCTGCCTGTATGTACTGTACGCG